GTCGACCTTAACTTCACCTAAAATTAAGTTGAGTTTATTTATAACATATATTATTTATTTATAATATATGTTATAAATATAAAAAACTAAAATATCAAATAATCAAATTAGTTAAAAATTGAAACCAGTCAACCAATTAGTTGGTGGTATCGCTTTACTTTTAGTTTAGGGAATTACAAAAACTAACAATATCGATTTAGTTTAAAAAAATATCCCATGGTTCGGTTAATTGAATCGCGAGTAGGACCATCAATAATTAGTCCAATATATGAACATAATTTGAACACGGCACAAAGTTAGTGGGTTTGGATTTACCTTAGTAGTGTTCATGTCAAAATCATGTCAACCTATTTAAAAAATCAATAAACGTGTTAGTTTCGGGTTGACCCACTTAACTAAAAAAATGACAGTTCTATAACCCGAAGTTTCAAGTATTAGATCACACAGATATATTTGGATGAAATACTATTGTGGTAGGTAAGGATTGCATTTAATGGTTTTTATGAATTTGTTTAAATAATGAGCTATTGAATGTTTATTTTACTATTTAAACCTACTTATTGTTTAATTTAAGTATATAATCATATTAATTTCATGTTAATTCAGGTTACACAGGTCATGTCATATTGTCGGTCGTATTCGTATTGACCCATATATCAGAATACCTTTACCTTGACACAATATGAATATGACACAAAAACACGAATCAACACTCTTATGAGCATCCCTAGTTACAAGTGTCATATTATAATATTTATAAAATATAACATAAAATACCTCATATATAAGCCATGACATATTGGGCCTAAGCCTAACTTGAAAATTTATGGGCCTGAGTACAGAACCTAAGTACTGAATTCTAGTCTAAAAATGATCAACCCTATTTCCAACTACCCAAGTTGCACTAAAAAATCCCAACTACCTAAGTTCCAGTTAGAGAGCTTACAATTACAATGTTCGATCCTATGTTTTTACATTCAAAGAAATGTCAACTAAAAGGTTGGACCCTTAAAAACTATAGCTAACCAAGAGGTATGATAAAAGTCACAATCAATTGGTGATTTTTATCAAAAATTCATGGGAGATTTGATGGGACAAGATTATGAAAAGCATAGAATCCAGCCATACATTAGGAACATCTATCATAAATTAGACATGCATTTACGGGAGATATTCACAATGTGCAATTGGATGTTATGTGAACATAGTTTTTGCTTGCAGGAGATTGTGCTCAACTTTGATTGGTCAAATCTCCTCCAATATCATACATTTTCGGTACTGTATATCTATGCTCAATTATGACGTTTTATCAGTTGACTTGTTTCTATAATCTAATTGAGCAAACCACCTATTTGAATAGTACTGTGTAGGGGTGAGCATTTAATTTATTCAAGTTAAAACCTAACCAAATAAATTGAAATTGAATTAACCAAAATTACCAGAGGAAAAACCAAATCAAATTTCTTATTTGGTTATCTTGGTTCAAACCAAATTTCATATAGTACCTTTGTCGGCCTTTTGTCTAAGATCAAGTGTAATATCGGTTTCAACAGAAAAAAATATATATGTAGGGATTTCGTGAATTTGATTTGGATCCTACTAATTTGGATTTAATTCGAGTAAGCTTTATGTTTCTTCAAAACAAAGCAAATATTAGAAAATGAGAAAGGTTAACTAATTTTTGAAGTTGTGTATAAAAACTAATATAAATATAAAATATTGAATTTATTGTTAAAAACTATGTATATCAGCTTATTTATACATTTATTATTGTTATTATAAATTTCTAGGGATGCTCAACAAAACCAAAAAAGTGAACCAAATTGAAAATATAGTTAACTGAACCGATTGAAAAAACCAATTCTACCAGTTCAGTTTTCGGTTAACTTAAAAGAATACTTGTAGTTTTTTCTGACGCCTAAAGGCAAGTTCATTCATAAATGCTTAAGTTATAAAGCAGAAAAATTAACAGCAATGAAAAATACAATAAAAAAAGCATGTTAAGCGTGTTGAGACAAAAACAAGTAACCACAAGCATCGAGAGAAAAACAACTTAAGAAATCTCTACAACTGACACAAATTTAAGAAACACCAAAAAGGTCGGCTAAATGCCTCCAATAGAGATGAAGCTAGCAAGTGTGTCTCTCTACCAAATGAGTCCGAATCAACTACACAAAACCCTCATGGTGTTTAGAGAAAGCAGGTACCATGGCACCCAATCCATGGCAATATTGAAAATGTGAAAGCGAGAGAGGCCCAAGATCGCCTCCTGTTACAAAACTCTCCCTAATACTCCACTGTTCAAACATTCAAGGAATGGGCCCCACAAAAAGCCAAAAGTGCACAAAAGAAGTTGTAACTTGTAATTGTAGGGACGTAAAATGTGCAAAAAAAACATCCATCTATGTCGTTATAGAAACCGAAATAGCTAGAGCATGAACGTCGCCGAAGAGAACTCAAAGATCGCTGGAAAAAAAGCTTGCCAAGAACGATAACGTCGTTACAAAACAAATGGATTCTCATGGCAAACCCCAAAGGCACACCACACACAAATTCGACCAAGACACAGAAATAAGAAAAAGATTAGAGGGAAAACGAAGATTATAATGAATAGAACCAAAGATCCCAAGTCTACTCCATAGGTTTAGATCACAACCATCGTCTCTCAAATCTGTTTAAAAAACATCTCCAACAAACACCAATATGAAGAGAAATAAATGAAAACTTGCATCCATAGATGTGAGAGAGAGACCCTCACATAGAGTGTGAGTGATAAACCCTCCCTCCGAGAGAGAGACCCTTACATAGAGAGAAAGCCTCCCGTAGAGAGAGACCCTCATGCAGGTATTGATTATTAACGTCATATTAGAGTTTAGACTTTAGAGTAATCAATCATGCGATTCTAGAAAACTTGTAGTTAACTAAACTGATGGGTCTATATATTTATAATATATATATATATATATATCTTTAATACATGTAAATATATATGTATATATATAAGCATATATATCATATATAAATTTATATGCATTATATATATAAATATATTATATTCTTAATTATCTATTTATAATATATTAAATAAATTATATATTATATATTGAAAATATAAAAAACTGAAGAATCCAAGAACAGAATCGCTCAAAAACTATGCCAATCAACCGATTAATCCAATTGGTTACCGATTTGGTTTCAAAACAAAACTATCAACACCCCTATAAATTTCCTTCCAACTTGATATGTGTTTAGTTCTATGGGCGTTTATTAAATAAATGTTTGTACTTGATTTGGCATCAAAACCAAGAAAAGTGGTTGATAAACTGTTTATTGGCTAGGCACCATTAGACATCACATTAGCAGAACATGAAGAAAAGCTTAATTGTTGAAGAAAGCATTAAAATGAAACTCCCCCAATGATTAACATGCACATAACTCAAGACCAACTTTTATCAATACCCTCTCACAAAACTCCAATATAACCAAACATACACTTGGTCATTAATCTCTTGTAAGTTGTAAAAATTAGATCCTAACCAATAAGAAGTTATATGCATAGCATCCAATTACACAATGGGAATAAAATTTTGCACGCATAGCATCCAGCTCGTAAGTATATTCTCAATTCGCGGCTAGATTTGCATAGGTTTTACTTGCTGTTGCAGGGAATGCTGTCGCTCGCAACGGAATACTGGAGATAGACGACTGGTGCTTGAGTTGCAGGGAATGCTGTTCATCGGTTTCATGTGGAGATACGGTATTCATGATCAGATACCGTATTGTCACGGGGGTAATCGTTGGGGCCCCGTGCGGCACTCGAAAGGGTGAGTAAGCCTATGCAACAAAGCAAACACACACAAAAAGGCAACAAGATGGCACACGAATTAGCAAAAGGCTATTTGTATTGCAATAATCAGTGATAAGCACAAGCACACAGTATAGTGTCGAGGGGATCTCGTGCTTAACCTTTACACTTTTATGAACTCACTCGACTACCTACCTCCCCTCAAAGAGTACGTTAAGCTTTGGGGGGAGTGACAATAAGAAACATCAAAAAGGTGAAAAATCATACTACAATATTACAATAATGCCATTGGCAATCCCCAATACAAAAGTACATGCATAGCCCACCCATGACACACACACTTGGACACTGGAGTAGCGGCTGTAGGCACGATGGTTGGCACTTAATGGCGCGGCGAAGAGAACACTTGTTACAGTATTGCGTCCCATAGATTTTACTTGTAGTTGCAGGGAATGTTGTTCATCGGTTTGGTTCCTTCTGGGATGACTACCAGAACTCAGATCTGAGTATTTCTCAGATCTCAGATTTGGGTTCCTTCTGGGATTTGGACTTGCCGAATCTGAGAGATATTCAGATATGGGCGGATACAGATGATGATAATGGTGGTGATGGCGGTAGAGAAACAGAGAGTGGATCGGTTACAGAGTAGTTCATTCTAGCTGCTGCCAGAGAGAGGGATGGTGAATAAGAAGGGAGAGAGATGAAGGGCAAAATTAGGTTTGAAAAAAATCATACATCACGTGGTGTCACGTGTGTATGAATTTCGACGGATATTAACGACAAAATTAGTCAATTGTTAGGAAACTTAAAGATACCATAAGAATAGCTAAACTGTAGGGGTACTGGCAAGAAGGCTGAAATGAGAAAAATGGAAACTAATAATTTTTTTTTACCTTCTTCTCTTTAAAATTATAAAAATGCCACTTTTTAATAGATTTGTTCATGAACCGGATAACTTAACAGATCGGCCCGGCCCGACCCGCCCCAAAATGGAAACTAATAATTTTTTTTTACCTTCTTCTCTTTAAAATTATAAAAATGCCACTTTTTAATAGATTTGTTCATGAACCGGATAACTTAACAGATCGGCCCGGCCCGACCCGCCCCGACCCCCGGACGAGCGTGCGCATAGATTTTAACCCGCGGATAGACCTAAAATTCAGGAGCTCGGTTCGATATTTTGTAATTTTTTTAAACCCTAGCCGACTAACCCTTTCCTTTTCCCTCTTTTCATCTTCTATCTTCTCTCCTCACTCTCACTATCAAGAACCGGCGCGAACCCAGGCAGCCAGCCACCGTTCTCAGTCTCAGAGGCGACAGCGCCGACGAGCTCAGACACCGGTCGTCTATCTCCGGCGGTGAATCCTCTCTCTCGTCACCCGTTATCTCTCCATCGTCTCTCTCGCAGTTTTCATTCTCACTCGCACTTCGCATATTCTCTGGAATCAGCGAACTCAAGCACCGGCGGCAGCCGCGCCACCAGTGAACTCAGTCGCCCCTCTCTCCGGCGGTGAGTCAAAGACCAGAGCCCGCCTAATCTCTGGTGCCGGGGGTTTGGAGAAGAAGAGAGAGAGAGATGGGGAAGGCGAAGAGCTCTCGCAAGGGTAAGAAGGCATGGAGGATTAACATACCCACAGACGACATCGAAGAGTTCTTTGAAAAATCAACCAAAGACGCTCTCAGTGGAGGATCCTTAACCGCCGTTTCGAGCGAATCCCTATACTACGTCGACAAAAGCAGCGGTAACTCCGTTTTTCTTTTTTAACTCCGAATCTTAGGGTTTCTGTATGCCCATTTGTTTCGATTCGGCTTTTGAAGCTACGGTTTTTGCAATTTTGTGGTTTGTTGATTCCACTCTCCGTTGAACATGAATACCTGGATAGAATTATTTTTACTACGTTAAACTTATGTGAGACTAACACATAGCTAAATATATGCTTTCGTCAAAGCGGGATGGGTGTTTTGAATTAATTTCGTTTTCAGCTTCACATGCTCGCATTGTTTTATGGAAAATGTTAGAAATTTAAATAAATTGTGAATAGTTTGTTAGAGAGTCCATTAATGACATTTTTCAATGAGATTCTAGCAGTTGCATCAGAGAAGCTTTTAGGCCTTAAACTAAAAGGTATGTTTTTTGTGAATGTTTTCTGTGAGTATCATGAAGCTACCTTGTTGCTTCTCTTATCCATGTGTTCCGGTGAGGTTCTCCACTGGATTGCTATATCATTTGTTTAGTGAAACTTTTTCCAGGGTTCACTTTTGCCTTAAAATGCAATATTGTTCAAATTTTAGAATAACTCAAAAGATTTGTAAAGCTCCATCAAGATCAAGATTCTGTTGGAATTGGTTAAACACATGAAACATTGAAACGTTTGGAGGTAAAAGACTCAAAATCAAAATGAAGTATCAATATTAAAGTTATTGACATTTCATCAGAACTAAATTCCCAAGCATGTCAAGAAAGACCAATTTTTCTATTTATTTTTTGGGAAAATTTCTTAAACTACCTTAACGCTCAGGAAATTGATTAACTATACCCTTACTGTTTCAGTATTGTCTTAAAGTGGCGCTACGGTTTCTAAGAATTGTCGCCATCGTTAAATTGTAACAGAAAAAAATAAAATGGCAAAATTTCCCTCCACTGTTTCTCAAATTTTCGAAATAAAACCCAATTCCTTCCATGCCAGTCTTTCTGATGGCATGGAAATTTATTCAAGGATTTTAGCAAGAAACTGTGAGAAAAAAAAACTTGAATTTACGAGTGGATGCATCTGATGACGTTCATGGAGGTATCGCGGCCCAAGTGGTATGAGCAATCTCTGGTCGTCGCCGTACAAGCAGTGTTCTTCAATCCTACTTTCTGGGTTACGATTCCATTCCAGTCAAACCAATTGCCTGTGATCAGCCTTAGGCCCCAGAACAGGGTGAACCTCATTTCTCTTCTTCTGAATTTCAGTTCTTCCCGGTACACCCTTTAAACCCAAGCCAGTATTACTTTCATTCTTCTGCAACTCATTGATAGACACAGAATCTGGTTTAATCTCATCTTCCCTATTCCCTCTACCACGGCCCAAGATCGGATCAAACTCATTTTTTGGAGAATACTCACCTCTCCAATTAAGACCCTTCTCCAAATAAAATCCAGCATTGTCATTATTCTCATTCGGGTCACTCTCATTGGCACTGATGGTCATTTCTCTGGAGAAGTGTTGAACCCAGTCCTCTTTACCCAAGATTTCATCTCCCTTGGGTTGTGATCAGGTCTTGGAATGAATGGTCCAATCCTGGTTTTCGACCTGCCCTTCTTCTGTATATCCATCCTTCACCTGTACCTCTGAACTCAAACTATACTCCATTGAAGCTTTTCCTCTCTCTTTTTCCCCAAAGAGAAACAAAACATAAAACAAAATGGACTTGTCACCAAAATGACAAAAGAAGCTCACCAAGTCATCAGTTGGTTGAAGATGTGCTTCTCAGCTTGTGTGTGAAAAACGGAAACAAAGGAGTAGAATATCAGAAACGGAAAAGGGTAAGGTTTGATCTAAAAGGAACAGATTACAAATATTATAGTTCTGAAACAGGGTTTGAGTGGAGAACATCATTTTCTTAGCCTCTGAAATAGGAGTGATGTGAGAGTGAGAGTGAGTGGGAGTGAGAATGAGAATGAGAGTGAGGTATGTTTTCTTTGCGTCTCTGGTTTGGTGTATGCTTGCCAGTTACCATCAGCTGGAGTTTCAAGGTTATTTAAGTTACAAGAATGCCAATGGAAGCCCGTTGGAAACCATTCTCCGGGAAGATTACTACTGCTGTTGTTGTACCTGAGTTTGAACTCGCATCCTTTCTTACATTCTCCGGGAAGATTACTACGGCAGTTTTAAAACTCACTGCTTGACACAGTAACTCGGACGAGTATCTGGTCGTCGTCGTACAAGGTCAGCTTCCTTTTGCTCCTGAACATGCGCCGGTGTTGTTCCTGTCAAAGAAGAGAAAGTTGAAGAGAAGGAATAGGGGAAGTGGAGAGAAGAGGGATGGGGTAGTATTGGGTTTTAAAAATATTTATACATCATGTGATGTCACATGTGTACGGATTTTGGCGGAACATTAGCGGACGTTAACGACAGGGGTAGAGCTAGTCAATTGTCAGAAACAGTAGGGGTACTTTAAGACAAAGTCAAACAGTAGGGGTAGAGTTAGTTAATTAGCTAAACGTTAGGGGTAGTTTAAGAAATTGGCCCTTATTTTTTCCGCATTGTGACTAAAAAAGTGTTGCTTTGATTCCAAATGTTCACATAAGTTGCCAGGATGTTCCTACTATACTTGATAGGAGGTCTGATTTTTTTTTTTTTGCACAGGCTTAGATTATCTTATCCTTCTTTTTCATCTCTGTATTTTCTTATTCATCTGCATGCATGTATATATGATTTTGTGCATGTGTGCACCATCCTTATTTTACTTTTTCATGAGGTCACCCATATTAAATATCTTAGTCAGAGAAATTGATTGATACTTGCCCTATCTCTATTCAGATATTTCAGTGAAGCGGAAAATTGAGAAACACCGGCAGAAGGTACTTCGATGTGAGAGTTTGTTTGAAAGGAATCCCTTTGTTCAACCTGTCCCATCTTCAACACTGAAGAAGTGCAAGAAGAAATGCAAAGAAGTTCTAAAACCAAAAATAGCTGAGAACCAAGATGTCCCTAAGGTGAAAGAGAATGGCTTAATCCAAAGTGTTTTTATAGCTCTGGAGTAGGACTTTTTATTAGATTTTTACTGTTTATGTTGACATCTCACAGGATAAGCAGAATTTGAACTCTAGCATGATTGACATATGGGATAATAAAGGTCCTTCTCCTTTTCATTTTACCACTTTCATCTTTTCAATGGTCATACACCTATAAATAACAGTACCCTGCATTATCTGGTCTCTTGCAGATGAAGGCAATGCCAAGATAAAAAAGGTGACTGCTACAAATCATTTCTCAATTCATAAGCCTACCAACAAAAGAATGATAAAAGAAGAAGCAATATTACAGTTATCTTTTCTCAAAAGATAGAAAAGAAAAAGCAATACTATGATCCAGTGGTTCAATGGAAAAATTGACTGGATCTGTTGTGCTCCTTACTTCCATTGAGTTCTAAAATACGTACTGCTTGCTATCTTAAACAGTTCTAAACAATTCTATGGTTTCTACTCATTTATTTGTAGACCTCATCTGATGGTTCTCCGGTTGATGCTTACAGAAATCTAAGTCTACTCTTATTCCGGCAGTAGAAGTTGAGCCACCTGGATGCTCATTTAATCCTTCATTTGAAGCTCATCAGGTATCTTTTCAGTCTGTTGCATTTTCTTTGTGCCTACATATTACTGTGGATTCTTACTTCTTTATCTGTTTGGGAGTCTAGGATTCATTGGCCCATGCTGTTGCAGACGAAATGCAAAAAATCTTCCGGAATGAGCTGGGACCACAGCCAGTTCCACTAACTGTTCCTGGTGAAGTTGTGGATGAAGAAAATGTGAGTTTTTTATTCAAATAGTTCCATCCAAATAATGGTGCTTTGAAAAAAAACTTGAGGAACTTGAATTCTCTTCGTGTATGTGTGCTTCCTAATGCTTACATGCATACATTTCATATGCGGTGGTAAGGTAGGGGTAATAGATCTCTGGCTTCCTAATGTTCTAGATATGTTGGTTAGCTTTTGCTTGATAGATAACACTTATAACACTAGCATTGTGAAAATTTTCTAGTGTGCACCCAAACTTCTAAAGCTAACTTCTACCTGAAAATTTTATGCTTAAGTCTAAAAGTTGAAGGAAAATCTGAAAATTGAATTTGATTACAGGCTAATATTCATCGGCATCATGGTAACCATATATGTAGTATGTTTATATGTAAAATATATAGAATATTGAGCCATAGTGGATGATTGTGCATAGAAACTGAGGTAACATAGGAAGAGTAACACCTAGATCTTTACAAATGTAATTCACGGACAATAGCTTCATAGCAATATACTGTAGGTTCTAACTGCTAAGCCATGCATGGTTACTTGCTCTTTCTAAGTTAGATAAGTTATGCATAGATAAATGCTTTCCTAGGTTAAAATCTAGATAAGATGACCCATATATATTGAGTTTAATTGTGTTTTTGAATGGTTATGCCCGGCTTCCTATATAGATTGTTTCTTTGACATTCACTACAAGCTTTGAATTCCTTGAGCATGACTTCACTCTTTCTCCCAGATGTTCTTTCTTGATGCTGATGCTGGAACTGATGATGAGTTGGAAGAGGATAATTCTGGTGAAAATGGCAATTCAACACCTGAAAAAAGGTCTTTTTATTTGTTCTTTTTTTCTTCTCATTACTGATCAAAATAATTCTTATCTTTTCTCATTCATTTTTTCTGGTTTTCAAAAAGTTCTTTCTAGCTGTATTATATCGCATTCATTCAGAAGTAGTAAAGAAATGGGTTTGTTTTTAATTGGTGTTGGGGCTTTCCTTTTTTGTCCAATCCATGGTTATGTACCAGTTCACCCATGATTTATAAAACAAAGTCAATAGTCTCTTGATGTTACCTGTGATTGGGATAGTTCTAAATGATAACTATTAAGTTTTATTTTCATTTTGTCATGCTTCAGGCCTTTAAAAACAAAGAGGGTGACACGGGTGGAACTAAACAAGAGAGCTAGGCATAAGCAGAAGTTGAAGGAAGAAGCTGAAGCAAAGAAGATAGAAGAACTTTCCAAGGAGATCGACAGGTAAATCAATTTTCATGCTTGCAGATACATTGCTCTGGGTTAACATACATCCTTTCTCTTGGTTATCATGGTGACAGCTTACCAGATATAATTAAAGAAATCACTGAGGAGGATGAAGAGAAGGAGAAAAGACATCTCAGGCGCATTACAGCCAAACAAGAAAGACTGAAGTCCGCTCCACCATGCTTGGGGAAGCACAAGTATGGATTCTTATAATTCCCAATCTTTATTTTTGTTGACCGGTTAAAATTTTGCAATATTCAATTTTTTTTGATGAATGGTTTTTTGCAATCTTCATTGAGCAAAATATGTTTTGTTTTTGTCTGGTGTCTGGTCAAGAGTATAGTAACAAATTGGCTCACATGATGAGGCTGCATAGTTCCATGGTTGCTTCTGTATTAAATGACTTTGAGATTGCACATCTTGAGATTTAAGTTAATAACAGAGTTGGGCTTGAAACATGCTAGTTAGTAGTTGCTTGCTTAACAACTTTGCTGTTTTGAAATGGGCCATTGATCATTATCTTGATGACAATGACCATCTAACAGGGTCATTGATATAAAAAATGACCGCTGAATAGGGATCTATTTGACCTGAAAAGGATTCCATGAACCACTTTATCTCCACTGTCTTAATGCAGGCAGGTCCTTATTTATCATTTGTATCAACTTTGACATCTTATGGAGACACTCTATACCCATTTTGATGTAATCATATATCCTGGTACATCTGACATAAACGGTTTCAATTATTTGCTTCAGATTCGAGCCTGCTCCTCTTCAAGTTCTGTTATCTGACGAAATATCTGGATCTCTGCGTAAGCTGAAGGTTCTTCTCTCAACTTAATTGTGTCGGCTCTGTATGGATGTGGTTCACAGTGAATGTGAATGATTCCTATAAGATTGCCCCGGCTTACATTGCTTGTTATGCTGTTGGTTTTCTTTTTCTTGCATGTGAAGGGTTGTTGCACTCTTGCAAGGGATCGGTTCAAAAGCCTTGAAAAACGAGGGTTAATTGTCCCAACAGCCAAACGCAAACGGTTGGTCATACAATTCTTGTTTACCCTTTACTTTTGAACTTGATGTGAGCATTCATTGCTTCCTAATCTCAAACCACACTAATAGGGCATTTAACTTATCTTGAATGGTAATTTTTGTAGGGACTCCACATGTTACTAGGTGCTTATTTATTTTTTGTCTTCCGATTGACTTGAATGATTTGCCTTAAAATCAAACATCCAATTTTGAAGTCAGATGAGAGTAGTCCTGAAAAGTTGAAAATTAGGGCGGGGGGGAACCCTTAGACTGGGTAGTTGAATTTTGAAATTTGGAAATGGATGCATTTATCTATCGCATAGTTTGGATATGGCTTGGATGATGATGTTACATTTATGTGGCTTCTTGAAAAAAAAGAATGCATTTCCCAAGGTTGTCTCTTATCTGACAAATGACTTGGATTACTTTGCATGGGAAACAGGTAATAATTATTTCTCTGTAGAGCGACGGTGCTGTGTACTAGAGAAAGCAACTATTCAAATGGAGATTCCTGACTGGGTGTCCAAGGGAACAACTAGCCCTGCAGGGTTCTCTGGGTTACAAGTTGAATTATATTTGTTTGTTATTTTGACATCCGCCCCACCCTTCTTGCTGTTCTATTTTCCGGCCCTGTATTATTATTATTTTTTCTTTCCCTATTACCCCATTTTATGCCAAGGTAGCAAAATCGATTTTTGGAATAGGATGGATTATACTGTTGTCGTTACAGGAATTTCTCATTTGATTAATGGAATTTGTGGAATACCAGAATATGAACGGAAGGCATTCCTCATGAATTAGTCTGAGTTTGGACATCACATCAGCTCTCACATAAGCATGAGTTTCCTTTACCGAGTCTGAGTTTGGTTTTGGTTCATAACAAAGTAACAAACCACTTTGTGTCGTTAATACTTGTACTAGAGTCCACGCTAGCAGATTCTTCCCACTCTTGCATTGCAATTTCAGGACTGCCCTACTTTATTATTATTATTATTATTATTTTTCTCTCGGTTTGTTACTGTATGCATGCTGACCAAGTAATGGAATTAAGGCATCCAAGGCAATTGAGTCTTTTTACTTCGAATATATTTTGGCCCCTGTGGCCCTGGTGCACAGAAAAGCCAGCCAATACATTATATGGATTAGTTTTTTGGTAAGAACATTTTATGGATTTGATGTGGTTGTTTTTACTTGAAGTAGATAAAAAATGGTGCAAGTGCATGTGATAAACCATTTTTCTCTACTTGGCTTGTAGCAATTTTTGCCCGCAAATCACACTAGCCTTGACCCTTGGGTTGAGTTGGCGGAACTGGATGCCAGACTCTCAGAATGATGGTGGTACCGTAAGAGAAGCTTTCTACTATTTCAGTCCAGCGCGATTTCTAGAATTTGGATTGGAGTCTTTATTCGACTGTGCTATTATCAAAATTTGATTCGTCTATACTAGAATTCCAATCAAACACCGGACTCATTTGAGATTTTGAATATTGAATACCTTCTTCAAATTCAAATTATAATTATTAAAATGTTATACGTTATTAGAAAGCTGAACAGAATTCTTTAAGTTGGGAATAAAATGACTTGAATTCATGTTTGCATGCATGTGCTGTGTCCTCTTTGGAATGGTGGGGCTGGGTTTTACACATTCCGTTCCTGACCTTGAATGCATATACCCTGCTCCGTACTTGAGCAGGGCTGGAAATCCCAGCCCTATCTCAGTCCTCGCTGGTAACCTGGGGGATCCTTCAATTTGCCACCATCCCGCTTCCCTGACAGGTATTTCCCCAAAACCCTCTCCAACCCCGGTCAGTACCCAAAATAACCATCCCTAACCTCATCTTAATTCTTGAAGGCATTTTACATTTCTTTTTTTCTGGTAGTTTATTTGACATAAATTAAAAGCTAATTTAGAAGTTGAATCTTGTTTTTTTTTTGTATGAATGTCATTTAGTGTATGTTTGGTTTGAAGGAAAAAGTAGGGAAATCTATACAAGATTTGTAAAGATTTCCCTATCTTTCCTTTCCTTTCCCTATTTTTTCTTCAAACCAAACATAACCTTAGTAACAAAGGCAACATGTATAGGTATATAATGCAATGAGAGATTTGAACCCATGAACCGTAAAGTTAAAACAGTTGATCTAATTTTAATAGTAAAATATTTATTAATTTTATATATAAAAGTCTATATACATAAATGATGAATGCCAATCTTACGATGATTTTGAAAAGGCAACATTCCTTAAGGAATATAAGAGAAGACGAGAATTAGTCTTTTTATCTAAATAGAATTCTGCTACGATTCCTATGAGGCATAATACAGAAAACTGATAACCAATCAATTTTTATCACTGTTCACTGATGGTATTTTTTGCCAAATTTTGAAGAACATGATCCACCATTGATTGGGTCGGGTCCTACTGAGAGGATTCATACACAGGTTATATTGGTTTGATAAAAAAAATAAGAGAAACATGGGTGGAGGAAAAATTTAGAGTTCAACTATAGTGCATTTATTAATATTGGTTGTAAATTAAATCTAGATCTAAACCAATTCTGTTAAAGTTTCCTTACTTTTCATAGATTTGCATTCCACAAAATGTATTTTCATATTTAATAAAATATATTTATCATCACATTCAACCAATCATCTGTTTTGATGCACCATGCAGCATGTGTATATAAGTTTCACTAAATTGATACCAAAATTTGTGAAATCCCTCAAGAATTTACTTGCCTTCAGCTGTATATTTTTGCTCTTATTTTCAATCTATCAGACCAAACATAGCCTACATAGGTGTTTCTTATCTTCCAATTGTATATGCCTATATGATATGTGACACAATCTACCAAAAAAATTACAGAAAAAGTATGGACATGTTCAATGCAGAGCTATAAACATTCAAAATGTCAACAGTCCACACTCTATGCACCAATGCCCGCCCGTGAATTGGCATCAATTCCGAGTTGACACCTACCCCAACTGTAGTCTAGACCTACAAATTCTGATCCTGGGCTGAACCATCATTCTCCCAAAAAAAATATGATATGTGACACACGGCAACTTGGCAAGTGATGCTATTGTGTGTTTTTTGCATATGATTGTGATTTGATATTTAATTATTTTATATTTGGATAAATTGCTGAAACCTCCCCTAAAGTTTCAGATCATTGCTGAAACATTTCCTAAAATTTGGTAATTATAATCACCTTTTTGAACTTTTTCACACTGTTGCAAATAGACCCCCTTTGTTAATCTTCTAAAAAGAAACACAAAAATGTCTAAAATAGCCATACAATTACTAATGAGGTTGTTTTTTACAGAAAAACAATATAAACTTTATAAAATAAAGAATTTAAAGTTGCGGGGTTGCAACTTTACATTTGAGCAATTGATATAAGGGGCAATTTGAAAAATATATCAACCTCAGAAAAGAGATTGAAGAGAAAATTGGAAAATAAGTATTTTGGTCAAAAGCAAATGAATGAATATTTTGGACAGTTTCCTGCCAAGATTCTAACAAAAAAGAAAGAGTAGGGGATGTTTGGAATCTAGCTGTTTTTCAAAATACGGTGTCATGTCAGATCCACATAGGTGTTTCAACAAACGTCCACATATATGAATGTTTGGTTCAGGTGTTTACTGAAAAATCGGGCATGCCTCATAAATCGGGACCCCGCTGATGGTTGACTGATGTGTATCCTATGCGGTGCTTACCTGTCAGCACATACAAAAAAAATAGTGATGAAATCATCTTACCAAACAACATAATATTGCTCATTGGTTGCCTACCTAGCAGAAGTGTTTTTTTTGTGAAAAACAGATCTTGAAAGAATAAGCGTTTTTTCTTAAAAATCGATCCCAAAAAGCGACTACGCTTCCAAACACCATCTAGATGATTGCAATTATTAATCCTTAAGAGAGATTTCAGCAACAACCAAAAACTTGAGGGAGGTTTCAGCCATTTGTCCTAGTGGCACGAAACGGACCAAACGGTTTGCGCAACTTCCTTGTGTTTCGTCTCGGCTACCAGCTCCCTCCACTTGCATGAAAAGTGAAAATTCCTCGTTTAGTCGGGCAGCGGGCTTCGCCGCGAGTGAGAAAAAACTCTTTCACTTCTCTACTTCTCGTTTGCTTGTTCGTTAGTCGGAACCTGGTATAAACCCTGTTTCCCCAATAAAACCCTATTTGGCGTATTAATTTCATTTTACACTACACACCTTAATCTTAAACCCTACTTATTCACATTTCTAATTCGGTTTCTGTTCAGGTGGCTCATCCATGGAGGATATTTGCGAGGGTTCTTCTTCCTTTTCATCCAAAATCATGAACGAGAAGCCCGTGATTGTTAGAGTCAAGAGAAAGTCCTCTCAATCGCGGCTCGATGCTTTCTGTGAGTTCATGCCCTCCTATATATATACACATATATTCCTTTCTTTTTTGTTTTCCGTACTCTGATGATATATTGATGGTGGCATTATTTTGGCGATTTTTTCCTCAATTTTGGGTTTCTAGGGCTGGAAATCAATGAGAGGCCACTCAAGAAACCGTTGCTGGATTTTGGAAAGTTGTCGATCTCTGATTCAACTGGAAAAGGTGAAATATGTCAACTCGTTTGCATGAACACGTACCAATTGAGTTCAGTAATCATTACGCCTACAAACCAGGGAAAACCTGAGTTTCTAGTCATAGCTCAAGTCACGTAGGTGTTGTCTGTCACTGAACATGTGTATCCATGGCTCAAGTCACGTTTGACCTGTCTTGACCAGATGAATCTTTTGTTGTTCCATATCTTAGTTATTGCGTTTAGAAGCACCCAATTTCACTTTTTCTCATATATCAAGTACCAAAGTTCCAAAAAATATGGCCTCCCATTTTTAATATACTCGCGCGTGCTTGTGCAATTATATGGATGAACGTCTGAATTGTAAAGACAAACTTATTCTACAAAAGACGTTCTAAATAGTTTTTGCTAATTCATTCTCATTATTTTCTCTTAGAGGAATTGAAGACGAAAAAGGTTTTTGTACAACACCTGGATACTGTAACAAGTTCTGAGGCTACAATTGATATTTTACAGTCTTTTGTGGTCAGTATGCTGGTCTGTTTAACATTCTTTCTATTCTGTTCTACTTGCGCTTGTTAATACTTTGCTTGTAGAAAGCAGTTGCAACGATTTTTTTATCCTTGTTGAGCAAAAGTGCGGAAGGCTTTGTTTTAGATAATCTGGCTCTGACACGTGACTATTTTGTGATCAGCCTAATGCTTCAGATGCATCTGAATTAAGGACGAAGCTTGAGGAACGAAGACACACTTTTAAACAAGATAACGTAAGTACAGGTTCACTTGTTTACATATTTATTTGGAAAAGTTTTTTGAACTACTCGTATTTTGAGAAGAATTTGCACCACAATATATTACTGCTTCATTTGGACTTATTTTATTCTTTTAATTTGAATGGAATATCTATCAAATCTATTGGTTCTCTTCATATAAAGACGAGTTGGAATTTGGAAATATTTTAAGGTTTTGGAATGGAAGCTCAAAACATGAAACTGGAAAAAGGCTTCAATTGAAGCTTCCTGTATTTTATCTTTTTTGAGCTTCAGCTGTTACTGGGCTATGGCTTTCAAGGAACATCTTACTGACCATATGACATCTTTCTTGAGTTTTATGGCTTTAAAAAMCCAGCCACAGCTTAACCAAACAGGTCCTAGATTTCCATTGTATACAAATATTTTACAATACGATTTGTTAAAAAAACATACAATTTTATATATCATTCAAGTGTTAATGCTATTGGGAATATCTGGAAGTGTCCATTATCACTTTCAATGCTAGTGCACTAGGCATGCACAGGTATCTGGGTATCATAGGTCTAAAAAAGGGGAAGGGGGAAGAAATTGGCGCCATCCCATTCCTTTAAGATTAGGATCCTTGTTGTGTTGTCTATGGTGCATTGGTGTCAAAACTGCATATTTAGTTAATTCATGCTTCTAGAAGTACAGAACTGAACAGTAAATATCAAAAATTAAACGGGAACATTCTTCAATATTGTTGATTATGTTAAATAGTCAACTTACAGGCATTATGGTACAGCAGCTTGAATGCAACCATTGTCTGCCTCTTTTTACTTGACATCCACACTTTATTTCTCGTTTGTTGTCACAATTCATGTCTTAAATTTGGATTTGATTGTTTTGACTAATGGCATGTGCTATTGATGCCTGCAGAAGCAAAATCAACTATTGTCCAAGGCAAGGCAAAAACATGAGGTACACAAACAGTAAACTTAGTTTTTGCTTGTAACACTAACAAGTAGTAATTAGATTACTATTGTGTTCCAAATGACTCTTCCTTCCATTTTAAGGAGGTAGTTAGACATTTAATCCTTTCTTTGTGTAAAAAGCATCTTCAGATACGTGTGCTCTTACTGTCTTTTCAGAGTCAATCTGGTCCTGCTTTTCTGTGAGTTAAAATTGTCCATGGTGCTTGCTTTTTGCTGAATCTTGTCTTGCTCAAACAGGATCAAGAAGCATGCATGAGCTTCGGTTGGAGCAATGGCTGCTCAATAGGTTTTCAGAGTCCATGGATGTGCAAATATATATAATTCATTTGCACTAAAACACCTAAAATATTTCAATTTTGGTTTTCATTATTCTCATGGTCATATGGGTTCTTTGTAATTAACCCCCAAGCATGACCTGTCCAAAATACATCTGAATCCTATGCCTTATTGTATGCCTTATGGTATGATAGGACAAACATGTGAATCTTTAACTCTCCCCAGTAGCTCTATTTAAACAATATATTTCTGTCCATTACCAAAGAAAGCAATATTGTTTCTGTCTATTTTAATCATTCTCTCACCTGCTACTGAACCACAAAACCTTGCAACACATTTACACAGCTTGGAAATGGATAGCCTTCGCACTGCTTAATGAGACCCAACCTCACCGAAAACCAAGCCAACTACTCTTTCTTTCTCTTACCGTGTTGCAGTTACAACTATTTATTAGAAACCTCAAAAACCTCCCTACGGTGTTCAACAACAGAAATCCTGTTTCCTAATTAAAAGAAAAAAATCTTGCTAGTAGCTAAAAGTTATCATGCTTTATCAACCTATTGGTAGAAATCTTCATGGAAGCAGAAACCTCCATGCACCTGCTTCTGGGATACACTGTTCCCAATTTTAATTGACAAGGTGAAGAATCTTACCATATTACTTTGGGGCTGATTATTGTGCCTAACATATCTTCTGATTTGAGAACTGTTAGAAAACAAATGAACAGTCAGAATAGAAGTACACATAGAAGAAGGTTGGGATGATTCAATCAGGTATTGCTATGCTTGATATGTTTTTTTTTTGATCAATACTATGCTTGATATCTTTAGAGCATAGGGTTTCTCTAAAGATATAACAGTTATTTGACAACTTCTTACCGGGTTAACTAATGGAGAGTTAATGGAAGGAGTGTATCAATATATTGTCTGCCTCCTGTATGGATGTTGGGGGGTTTGCCAGAAACCAAGGCGGGCCACTTTCAAATTCTTGGAATACCTGGGGGGTCAATCTGTGGTTTATCCTTTTGTAACATAGTGTCTAGCTGAACCTTTTTAGCATATTGGATGATTGGTAAGGAATATCTCATCTGAAACTTCTTAGTGATTATAATGGTTTTCTGGCATCAAGTTGATGTGGTTGATTATTTAGTTAATTTACCATCTTAAGGCTTTGGTGCTTACCTATTTGTGGAAAGTTTTGAGTATCCTTCTACTAAATATTGAAACAGAGAAGGTGCATATAAGCAGCATTGTAATAATGGTTCGRATTCAAGAATGCTGTTGAAAATTAGTCTCAGTTTGGAAAGAGTACAAATGCAAATATGTACAGTACAAATACATACAAAATATAAGGTTTTGCACTCTACATATTTGCATTTGTACTCCTTCCAAACTGAGCCTTAGAGAAAAGAGAGCAGGAGAGAATGTAGAGAAAGACAAGAGTACTCTTAAACATGGGAAAGGTCTAAACTGTGCATGTCACAGACCTAAATAAAACATAAGCTCTGACTACAAGGATGATACATGCATTTTTTCTATCTTAAAAGCCTTGCCCCTTTTTTGGGTTGGAGGAGGGAAAGGATAAACCCATGCAGACATAAAGAGCAAAATAAGAAAAAAAAATAATAATAGTGTTTCAAGGTCTCTGTTCAGGGATGAGTTGACGCATAATTAACTTGGAAACCATCTAAGCTACTTTTGAGTATTCTGGATAAAGCTAACAGGATTCTTATGGACCGATCTGCAGTTTTTTAATATTATTGTTACATGTATTAGGTGATATATGATGACAGTTATCTGGTTTCACCAATAAAACTTTCATTACTCTTTTGGTACTTCTCCTGGCCATCTTGCCTTGCAATGTTGAGAGAGTGACACCAAGGTTTTTCCCTGATAACAATCACTGGGTAAGGTAGATATATAGAAATAAGATCTCTATGTTACTTTAGGTGAGAGTGGTATCGAATTGTGTTTTGTCACTTCTTTCTTTCTTTCTTTTCATTTTCTCTCTACTTCTAGGGAAAAAATAGAAAGGGAGCAATTGGTAAACTTAACCTCCTATTTTATGTCAGTTTTATTTTCCATTTAGGTTTTCATCATCAGTCAGACTAAAAAAATAATTTTCTTGTAGATTTCTTTTTCATACCCTTGATTTTTTTTTTCACAACCAAACAGTGCTAATTTGTATTCTTGATTGGTTCATGTCCTTTGGCCTTGTTAGGTTCTGTCAAAAAATGCTCGATTTGAACAGATATGGAAGAGACGGAAGGGGAGGAAGGATACCATGCCTGATGATTCATTAAATGAAATATGTCATCTTTATGATGTTGTGTGTGTTGACGTAGAAGAGGAAATTTCAAGTGAGGTGGAAGAGCAAAAGTAGGTTACTATTTTTCTTTCTTTATATTGTTTTCCATTTTCAGTTTCTTTCTTTGTAATTGTTCTTCGAATGTTAGCTTCACTGATCAAAAAAGTATGTTAAAGATATTTTTTTTTTCCTAATTATTCAGATGCAGCGAAACCTCTTTGGAGGATAATGCCATTTTGTTAAATTATTTGCCACTACTAAGAGAGTTTGTTCCAAGTGCTGCTGCAGAGATTGAATCTGATATTTCTGCTTACAAATCAGAACAAGGTATTTGTCATTCTATCATCAAAGATTTTGACTTTATATTCATTTCTGACTCCAACATTGATTTCAAAACCATGTACTGCTCCTGAATGTTTAAACTGTGAGTATATAATTAAACCTAGGAGTGCAATTTGGGCAGGCTTAGGTTGAGCATTTGTTGAAATTTGAATGGACCTTGCCTGAGGATCCAAGTCCACTGCAATGTAAATTCTTTGAATGGGGAACCCAACTTGAACCCATAATTAAACCTTGTGAAATGAAAATTCTTTAAATTAGTATTTTGTTAACATTCTTGCTTTAAAGAGACAGGTATGAGAGTACCTTGTTTATTTCATTCCAAGCATTTGTCTGATTTGTATTACAGTATAATGAAGTGGTATACCTAAATGTACATATTATATTGAATACAACATTCTAAAATGCAGTAAATTTCTTTAATAAGACACTTCTGGTCCTGTGAAATTCATTCATGTCCAGATACTTATATAGAGGGAATGTATATTATTTAGATTTAAAATCAAAGTTCCATTTGTCTCACTATAGAAGATGGAATTTTTTTTCTATTTGCATCATTTCTGTCCATAACCAGTTTTACATGGAGGAAAATAAATGCAGCCTAGAGAAAAGGTTTACATGATATGAAAAGGCTTTTAAAGTGTTTGAACTAAATAAGAGAAGTTAAAAGGAAAAGATAGCAGGTAGGATGATTATTAGTAGCCCGGCCTGCAAATATTTATATCCATATAGTTATAGAAAGGTCAGCCCGATGCACGAAGCTTCTGCCAATGTGGGGTCTGGGGAGGGACAGATGTACAAGTTTAGCATAAATTTTATGCATATATTATGTCATGTAATATATATTTAATATGCTAAATTTAAAATATAGGCTTGGAACCAGACCCGGGCCCAGGCTAGAGCCCTTGTCAGGGGTGCTATGCTTGGCTCGGTCCATGATTACCCTAATAGCAGGCAATGCTGATGGTGCATCATCCCTTCTTAGTCAGTAACAGACTATTAATATTTGAAATGAACCATATGTTCCAGAAAAAGGGGTGTAGGACAAGTACATATACACAAACAGCTCAGAGCTGACATGAAATTTATAGACGTTTTAAGCAAGATTTTGATACAAGTCCCTCCCAGTAGCAGGCATACTGTAGTCCAACAAATCTGAGGCTGTTTGCTGACCTGGGAATCCATTTGAACAAGTACTTCATTGTGGATACCATTAGCTTTGTTTTCTCTTGTTCCATGGATCTTGATCATCTGATGCAAGCCATAGTCACCTTTTATGGATGATTCTCAGTCCAGCCCATTGAACTACTCAGCCTGAGACCATGGAGAATAATGTTGTATCACCTTTTCTCTATGTGCTACAAATATGGTGGGATGCATTTGCAGCTTGTTCATTTACTGTAGCTCTTCTAGCTCTCTTTTAGTTGGATAATTACTTGTAGCTATTTTGTTCGTTTACTATGAAAAGTAGCTGTTATAAAAATAATCCTCATGAGGTACATGCCATAAAAGGGTATTTGTGTTAAAACTGAACAGCATTAGAGATCATATCCTTTGTTAAATACTTAAATGGGAAGAATGTGCTGGGAAATCTCTTTTAACTCATATGACTTTCAGATGGGAATGAATGCTGTAATCTTTATGTGGAACTTTAGAATTGTTTGAGAAATTTGTTCTTCATCCTTCATCGAAAAGAATAAGGCTTTTTGATGAATGGTGTTTCATGATGCTTATCAAGATTCAGAAAAGAAAAGGAAAAAATGGTGTATCACAACTACCTCTGTTGTGCTGTGCAGATTTGAAGGATGACTATGTGTACGACTTGTACATGATGAAGGATGGATTGAGCTATGAAGAATGTGATTCAAACTCATATCCTCTGTAAGGATGCTGGACTTCTATGGTCCCAACCTACTTTTTTTTATTAATATGGTTATACTTATCCTCTTTTTACAGAGTGCAAGTTGACGATGAGGATGATTTCTATGGTGGCCCAATTCAGTCAGAGTTTGAAAGTGATGATTCAAACGGTACTTGTTCTATTTTTTCTATATACATGCATTGTGCAACTTAATATGGTTATACTTATTATCTGTTTTGGAACTCAGCTGAAGATAATCCATTGAATGATTATCCCGATGAGGAGACATCTGAAGATGAACCTCAGATCAGTTCTCATGATGAATCACAAGAAAATGGAAGAGCTTTTGATGGTGATTCTGAAGAAGTTGAGGATGAAACATACTACAACCATTCAGATATAGATTCGTTATACACTGAGGAAGAGGTTTGTGTTGATGATGGTGAAGACTGGAGATGGAAGTATCGCTGAGATTCATTCTATAGGATTGGTATTTTTCACGTATATACAAAGATCACTTTTCAACCCTTTTTGTCTGAGCATCTTTTCCGCCCTAGTAATCTGAAAAAAATTGTCATGAAACGATTCAGTGTTAGGTTCTCTAAATATTGCACTGAACCCACCTTAGCAATCAATGTGTTGTATGGAACCTGCTGAGCTGATGTCTAAATATGTAACCAACTAACCATACATAGTGACTTATTTTCCCTTAAAGGGTTAAAAGGTAAATTATAATGGTATATTGCAGATTTGCAGTTCTTTGCTACCATTCATATCCACCCATTATTTGTTTTTTTTTTCTTTGATGTATGACTTTGCACTATGCACTTTTTTTGGTAAGTCTTCAAGGCTGAGTTGAGTATCTACTGATTCTACTCAGTGAGCCAATGTCTTATTTTTGGGTTCGGGTTGGCATTAGATTCACTGAGCTTTCAATTGACATGACCATCCATTCAGGATGAATTTCCCATATGAATGTCTCAAAATGCTTTTGGTTTGAGGCTGTCCTTTGTGCTATCTACCTCATCAACCGTATGCCTTCTCGTTGGTTAGAGTGCAAAGTCTCACATCAGCTTCTCTTTCCTAAGGTTCCCCTTCTTTTCATTCCTCCTCGTGTGTTTGGTTGTTATTGCTTTGTTCAAAATTTGTCTTCCACTCGTGGAAAATTGGATTCTCGTGCTATTCCTTGCATATTCCTGGGGTACTCTTTCACTTAGAAGGGATGTCATTGTTTTGATCATGTTTCTCAGAAATTCTGTTTCCATAGATGTCTCTTTCTTTGAGAGTGAGTCTGTTTTCCCTGTTTCTCTTCAAGGGGAGAGTAAGAATGAGGAGAAACTAGTTCAGTTCCCTTCTCTTCCTAATCCTCCTCCTTTTCGTGTTTTCTTCCATCGTCACAAAGGCCAACCAAATTCAAGAGCTGTGGATAATTTAGAAGTTGTACCTCCAGTTGGGGCTCTTCCCCTTGTTGCTGCTTCTAACACTACATTGCTAGGTGAGGTTTCATCTTCTTCATCTACACCTTAGGATGTGCCCTTTAACTACGGTATCTACTGATTTTGCCCTGCCGCCTACCTCTTCCTTGCATCCCATGACCACTCGAGATAGACATGGTATATTTAAACCTAATCCAAGGTATGCCCTTCTTGCTAGTCCTCTTCCGGAATCCGAACCTATTTGTTATTCCCAAGCTCACAAAGATCCTTGCTGAGTCCTTGTTATGACTGATGAATATAGGGTTTTAATTCAAAATAATACTTGGACTCTTGTCCCAACACCCCCTGATAAAAATATATTAGCAACAAATGAGTTTTTAAAATCAAACGTAAGCCTGATGGTTCGGTTGAATGTTTTAAAGCCCGCCTCGTTGCCAAAAGCTACTTTCAAGAAGCTGGTCTTGATTATGATGAGACATTCAACCCTGTGGTCAAACCGGTTACGATTCGCATAATATTATCTCTTGCAATTTCTATTAACTGGGATGTTCGCCAATTGGATGTTAGCAATGCCTTTTTACATGGCCACATTTCATAGGAGATATATATGAAACAACCTATTGGGTTTGTTGATCATAGATTCCTAACACATGTTTGCCACCTTCATCGCTCTCTCTATGGTTTGAAACAGGCACCTCGTGCATGGTTTACACGGTTGAGTGCTTTTCTTATTTCTTTAGGGTTTCTCGAATCTTGAGCAGATGTCTCTCTATTTATTTCTCGTTCTGGATCTAATATTATTGTAGTTCTTGTTTATGTTGATGACATCGTCGTTACAGGATCTTCCTCGTTTGCCACTAACACTCTCATTTAACATCTTGCCTTTCAGTTTTCTCTTCAAGATTTGGGATCTGCACATTATTTTCTTGGTGTTGAACTTCACAGATCGTCCACTGATTTTCATCTCTCTCAACATAAGTATATTGATGATGTTTTGCATCGAGCACAACTTCACAATGCCAAACCCCTCTTCACTCCTATGTCTGCTTCCACTTGGCTCACTAAATCGGAAGGGGAACCTCTCGTTGATCCAACCTTTTTCGTAGTACTGCTGGTGCTCTCAAGTACATAACTATTACGTCTAGAAATCGCCTTTGCTGTGAATAAGGTCTGTTAGTTCATGCAAACCCCTACTATTGTTCACTGGGCTATTGCAAAGAGGATTCTTCGACACCTCAAAGGGACGATCACGTATGGTTTGCTTCTTCGACCATGTCGTTCATTCTCTCTTGTTGCTTACTTTGATGCTGATTGGGGTAGCTATCTCATGGATCGTCGCTCTCAGAGTGGTTATTGTGTGTTTCTTAGTTTTAATTTAATTTCTTGGAGCTTCAAAAAGCAACCCATGGTGGCTCGTTCTAGTATTGAGTTAGAATATCACAACTTAGCCTCCATAGTTGCTGAGGTTTTGTGGCTTCATATGCTCCTCCAAGAATTGGGTATCTCTCTCTCTACCACTCCTTTGATATGATGTGACAACATGGGCGCTAAATTTCTTGCTAATAATCCTACACTTCATTCTTGTTCTAAACACATCGAGTTGGATATTCACTTCATACGGGAAAAAGTTGCAACGAAGCTTCTTGATGTTTGATACATACCCTTGGCTGATCAAATCGCAGACATCCTTACCAAGCCTCTTGATCTTCCGCAATTCGAGGTCCTTCATCACAAGCTCACCGTTTCTCGCCCGGCTACGCTTGAGTGGGGGTGTAAGCGATACCATACTAACGTGCATGGCACATGCACCCAAGACTCCTACTTTATCCTATAAGCTCTTCTTCCCTCTTATCCTGTAAATGCCTTTCCCACTGTATTTCTCCTTCTTGTAGATAACCCCTATCCTATACTTCTTGTAGATAACCCCTATCCTATACACTTGTAGATTATCTTTGTAAAGGATAAACCTATCCTAATAAGATAAGGATTATCGTAATTAGGATTGCATCTAAACTATCATATTTTAAATAGAACTTCTTATACTCTATATATATATCATTAAAGAAAGGAGAATAAATATTCGACCATTATTATCAATTGTCTCTCTCTTATTACTCTCATACCGAGTGTAAATTTTGGTTTGCTTTTTTTTTTTTTAGATTTGACTTTGTATTGTGTGTCTCTGAGAAGTAAAATGTAGTCCTCGCATTAGACGAGATGGAGGAGTTGTTTGGGAGTGAGATGCGAAGATTATGTTCCCACCTAATATGAATAAATTGAGGTAGGAAAATATGGTGTAAATTTTGCGTCAGAATTTGGGATTCAAAATTTGCATTGTTAGTAAGTGCAAATAAAACAAAATGTATAAATTTTGGATGGTATAGGAGTACAAAACATAGTTAGAATTTAGAAAGAAATTGATGCAAAACTGGGTTAGTGCAAAATTTGCATCTGATTCAGATTTGCACTGCAAGCCCAGTTTGGAAGGAGTACAAATACAAATAATTAGAGTGCAAATACTTATAAAATAGTACAAAATACAAGATTTTGCACTGTACATATTTGTATTTATACTCCTTGCAAACTGAGCCGCAAGCAAAAAGGGCTTTCGGGGGAGATTGTAATGCAATGACTAATAATTTCTCCCACTCCCTTTATTGAGTTCAGGTCTTAGGTTAGCACCTTGGAAAACTGCAATGTTCCCTAAAAAAATCAGCAAAAGTGGAAAATCTTTCAAGTGTCGTCATGGCCCAATAAAGCCTTCCTCCTTTTTCGAACTACAAAATAGCACCCAAGTCCTCCCAAAATAAGCAGAATAACCAATCCATCAACCACCCCTCCCATGATCAAGAGCCATTTCTTCAGCCTAGAAGTTTTCCCATGAACCTCACCCATTCCCTTTGGAACCTTCACCAAATATCTCATTCTTGTTGCCTTGTCCAGCCGTTTTACTCCACTGACCAACCCATAAAGAATACAATCCCCCTGCTCTCCAGTGCTGCCAGTTGCAGAATATAATGCAGCAACGCAAGTACAATTGTCCAAGCACAAATTTTCGCATTCCTCTTTGCTGGCAATGTCCTTCTGAGAACTATCTCTTAAAACACTAGTGATGCCCTCTAATTCCACCATCTCCACATGGTCTTCACCGCAGAATCCATTTGAAAATCCCTCGCTGCAGTTGGAAACCGTATGACCAGACCCTCTTGATAATTGGAGACATGCACAAGTGTCGGAGAAAGTGCAAATACCATATGGTTCACATGCCAGTGGAAGGTCACATGTGGTGTTTAGTGCTTGAAAGGAGGCCTCAAATTTGCCTATTTCAGGTGAATAGTGATATAAACCCAAATTTCCTGTCTTGTCCCCCAATGCTAAAAATCTTACAGGTTCATCTGCATTGGCCGTCATTTGTGCAATCTTTCTATGTTTTCTGTCAAACAGCTTCAACCCTATTGAACCCAGTTCTGCGGAAACGATATTTTGGCCCTTGGAAGGTCTAAATTCCCAGTAAGAGTACTTCCAGCTACCGGAGTTCAAGTAAAGAACTATCTTGTTACTTTCAATTTCCAAGGAATAGAATGAAGATGAATTGCCGCTGAAAGAAGTCAGGCGTGTTGAAAGGTTGAGTACCTGGCCCCAAAGCATGACGTCTGTTGGGAAGTCGAAGCTCTGCCACTTTATACGGTTCATTGCGTCTGCTAGAACAAGATTTCCTGTACCCAGTAACTGTAGTCTCTGTTTCAGAGGGAGGAAAATAAAGAAATTCTATCAGTAACACTTCACTTACCAGGTGAAAGTAATTGCCGATAACATTATCCTTAAAAATGATCTCCAAATTACTACTACGTACTTGCGTAGGAAAATGGTCTCGAAACTTCAAACAAGTTTTGCTGGTTTGTGAACTAATGCCATGAGCTATTGGAAACTTGAGATATTCCAACTAAGGTCTAGAGAACAGCCCCATAAGTGAAAGATTACTGCTCTTATTTGCAGGAAACTATTTGTAAACTCTCTGGGATATTAAAAGATTTATGCAGATCTAAGACGTATCGGTTTCCTATAAGTTTTTATCAGACGATTTGCAGTGAAAGCAACCAAATCAAAATTCTACTAAAAAAGGGTGTGTTTTTTGGAGTTGTTAGCGAAGAGAACAGAACAGGGTCTGCATCTGAGGATCAATTAAAATATTCCAATTATCATCAGACCCAGAGACCAGAGGGTGATCACCAAAGGTCTAAAACCCTGTTTGAACACCACCACGTGAAATGGGATCATCTCATTTCGGTTTCCCATACCAATTCTTTCTTCCAACACTGTTATTACCAGAAATGGAATTCATTTCAGGCAATCGTTAAGAGGAGTAAAAAACAACAGGTATACAATTTCATCATAAGATGGAGAAAAATTGTGCATCGAAATGCAAACATGACCACAACGAAATCATTTCATTTGACGACGGATGCAAACAGGCCAAAATTGCAATGAGATTCATTTATAAGTTTTACCTCCACACCTTGTCCAAAGGTCCTGGTTCTCCAACCAATTCGCCTTCTCGCACCTTTCAACTGCAACTCTCCATCTTCCGTCAGCTCGAGCACACATCTTTGGGAGGGGTAGAAGTGCGAGGAATGACCCGAATTCCACACCTTAGCATCTCCAAGAAAAACTTGCAGCGAACACGAGTATCTGCCATTAACAGCTTCGACGCTCAATGCAGCCCTAAAATCAGGATTCTCGTTTCCTGTCTCCAATACAAAAGCTCGTCCCGTGAAGCCACTGTTGTATTCAGGTGGGAGCGGAAGCGTGACCCTGTACCCAGCTGGAATATCAGATTTGCAAGAAGCATGATTGAACCAGTATATGAGAAAACTCAACGCATACAACTCCATGTTTCGGCTCTAATAAGTCTGCAGATAGATGAGTAAAAAGATCGACCGCTCCCTATTCCCTAATAAGCTTCCTCTGGTTTGACGGAGCTTTTCTTCTTCCGTCCAGCAAACGGAGAATTGGAGACTGTTGATAGAAGACACGAGTGAAGACGCTGCCACGAGGAAAAGGAGCGAGTCCCAAATCCCAAATCCCAAATCCCAAATCCCAAATCCCAATCCCACTAAGAGAATGCCGAATGGGTCTGAAGTCTGGACCACTTTTGTTCATCTCTCGTGCTTGCTTTTGCAGATGTGGCCCTCACCCCTCAGTGGCGCTGTCATGCAACCATACTTGAACCTGGTATTTGGAATTCAAATCGTCTACCGAACTACTCGTAATACTGGACCAATCATGATCTGCCACATCAGACTCAAGATGACGTTGCGAATCATTATTGGCCCAGTATCCTTCGGTTCCCGTAGAGGATTTGAACAGTGATTTTTTTCTTTCCGGTGAGATGGAGTTGGGGGAAGTTGATTGGGGCCACACCGCCACTGCCAGTGCCCACTGGTGGCCTGGGTGCCTTTTTTTTGGTGGATGGATGGTGTTTGGGCGGGAATCATTTAATGTTGGGGATAGTGGCACGCGTGCCAGGTGGTTCGTAATAATTACTCCACGTGGCAGTGGTTAGCAGCTTATTGCTGACATTAATCTCACGCTTCCCTGACGTATTGCTTCCACCACGTCAGGCATTCCGGTAACAAGTTCTTCGGTGATCCAAATTCCAAATGGAAGTAAATGCTTGTAGAGATTGCAGAAGAAATATTAGAGAGACATCAGCTTTGCAAGTTCTATTAAGGCTGCAAACAGTATCCGATTCTCCAAATTCAAATTCGAATTTGATACTATTAAGAGTGATTTATAATTGGATAAAATAAAAAGTTATGCTTATATATACCTTAAGAATGATTTATAATTTATATTGTAAGGAATCACAATGGAGAGATCGTCGACTTCAAAACGTACACGTTAGGGGGCACTACTACCACCAATATGGCAGAGGCATGTTTATAGCGAGGACTTTGTTCAGAAATGTTTAAATTTGAGGAAGTGGATAAACGAGGACTTTCATTATAAGCATGTTTATAGAGAGGCTAATCGTGCAGTAGATTGGTTAGCTAATGCAGTTTTATCTTCGGCTCATGAGTGGGGACTTTAGTCTATAATATTTCCCATGATTTAGTTTGCATTTGCTCTAGTGACTTTAGCGAGAGTGCTACCCCTCGGCTTGTGTAGCACACCAAGGTTTTATCAAAAAAATCATAATTGCAAATCACTTTCATGACTTCTTCAGCAATCTCTTTACTAGTAGTGGTTCAAAAGACTAATGAGCTTATTAGTAATACAACTGCTTAGCTTTCAGAGGAAGAGACGAACCTTCTTTGACCAACTTGTCATTGATGAAAAAATCCTGATGGCTTTAAATCAAATGGCCCCTTCAAAAAGCCCAGGCCCAAATGGTCTTTCCTTTTGTTTTTTTTACCAAAGATACTGGAGAATAATGGGCAAAGATGTTTTGGGAGCGGTGCATGAATTCTTCGGTTCTAGGAGAATGCTGAGAGAACTCAATAATACCCTTATCCCAAAAACAAATAGCTTTGAATCTTCTTCCCATTATCGGCTCAATAGACTCAAGCCACTTATTGATAAACTCATTATCCCAAATCAAAGTGCTTTCATGTTTAATAAACAAATTTCAAACAACATCTCTTGGCCCATGAAATGATTCATTCTATGAGAAAATATAAATCCAAACACAAAATGAAGGTCATTAAACTTGATATGGTGAAAGCTTATGATAATACTGAATGGAAATTCCTGGATTTGGTTATACTCAAGATGGGGTTTGGCAGTGCTTGGAGGAATTGGGCGATGCAATGTACCAGTATTGTATCCTACAGAATTTTAATTAATAAATGGGTCCCATGAAAAAGTTATCCTTCCATCTAAGGGATTGTGGCAAGGGGACCCCATCTCTCCCTATTTATTATTGTTGGTCTTAGAGGTTCTTTCAGCTACTCTCTCAAAGAAAGTAATCAGTAAGGCTCCATTTGGTTTGTGGGAAGATTTGGGTGGGATGGGAAAGTGTAAAAATTTACACTTCCATTGTTTGTTTTTATATATGGGAAAAGCACTATAACGAGCTACTTCTTTGCCAGATTCATGTAAGGTGAAGAACAAAGCTCTATGACTGAAGCGGCAATTAGAGAGAGAGAGGAAAAATGAGGGAATCAGAAACAATGGATGATCGGAGAAACTAGTCAAAACTAGTGAAACGGTTGGCGGAGACGGTAGGAATGATGGTGTATAGCTGCTGTGGGGTGCTCTGTTTCACTAAGAGGAAGACAAACAGTAGTTCACCGGCGGAAAGCGAAGACGATGAACAGTGCCACTAGTCACCATTGGAAAGTGAACAGTGCCGTTGGAGATAGTAGTTTGCCGGCGGAAAGAGAAGACGATGACGGAGAGGTACTAGAGAGTAAATGATCTTGGTCACCGCTGTTGGTATTTCCTGTGTTCGTTGTCGAGAAGATGATGAACAATGCTTTTTTTTTGTGAAAAACAAAAGATGGAAGAAGAGGAAAGAGAAGAAGAGAGGAGAGAGGGAGGAAGGGAGTGGCTGAGAGGGGGTGCTGCTGCAGCTACTCTGCTTCTGGGTTTGAACGAGGAAGGGGAGGTAGCAGATCGCCGATGGTAACGGGGAAGGCACTGGTTCTCTCCCTCCTCTGTTCGTCATCGATGGTAATAGTGGTTTCTTAATTTTTTCCACCAGGGTCATACGGTTTTGATGCGACCCCAAATCCACGATTTTAGGATTTGACATCCCACATTTTTCTCATCCCATCCCTCAATTTTCCTCAAAACAAATGAGAGAAAAATGAATATCTTTAAAATATTCTTTTTTTCTCATCCCTACCCCACAAACCAAACGGAGTCTAAGACAACCTCAAGCATAAAGATTAACCACAATGCTCCCTTTATCACCCATCTCTTCTCTGTGGATGATAGCTACCTCTTTTCAAGAGTTAGTTTTGAAGAAATAAAGGAAATCCTCCACTCCCTTGAGCTCTATAGAAGGGCTTATGGGCAAAAGGTTAATCTTCAGAAGTATGAGGTGTTATTAAGCAAGAACACCCCGGAGAGATTTCAAAGAATGTTGGCTAGGTGTTTAATGATGAAAAGGGTTTTCAACACTAGCTTCTATTTGGGGTTGCCCTCTGAAATTCAAAGATCCAAATAGAACACCTTTGCTTCTATCACAGTAAGGGTAGCTAGCAAAGTTAGAGGATGGAACAGTTAGATCCTCTCTCCTACAAGTAAAGAAGTCTAAAATAAATTAGTCTCCTCTCTACCAGTTTATGCAATGTCTTGCTTTCAACTCCCCAAGAGTATCTACAACAATATATCGGAATTTCAGAGAAGTTTTTATTGGGGTGATGCAAATCATAGGAAAAAAAAACCCACTAAAAACAAGTGGAATACCCTAATACAAAAACAAATCTGTTGGAGGCTGGGGGTTCAGAGATCCCTATGCTTTTAATATGGTTCTTCTAGCCAGACAAACTTGGAGAATCCTTCGCAACCCAAATTCCCTCCTAGGTTATGTGCTCAAGGATAAATATTACCATAAGGATACCTTCCTTTCGGCTGGAGTTCCAAATAATTCATCTTGGGGATATCTGTGGAGAATTGGCATTGGGATATTTATGGATGTGTGGAGTGATCCTTGGGTCCCCTACCTTGAGAGACTACAAAATCCCAATCTCCAAACCAATGGGCTATCAAGTTTCCCCATTCAGTGATTTGATGGAGGTTAATACCCATTCTTGGAAAACCCAAGTGATTAGAGACTTGTTCCCCTCTCAGGTGGATTTGAAAATCCCAAGGCTCCGTTTGAAAGGAGTACAAATGCAAATATATAGAATATAAAACCTTATATTTTATATGTATTTACACTCTATATATTTGTATTTGTACTCCTTCTAAATTGAGTCTAAAGATCTATCTTCCTTCCATTGATTGCCGCAAAAAAAATCTGTTGGTCCTTTTCAAAGAATGGTGAGTTCCCTACCAAAAGTTCATACTAGGTAGCCAAATATCTCAATGACAAAACAAGTACAAATTCTAGAAGCCCTAATTCCCAAGAAATCAAGCTGTGGAAGCTTATTTGGAAATTACCTCTGGTTCCAAAAATCAAAGTCTTCTTGTGGAAAGCTCTTAATGATGGTATTCCAGTTAAAAGCATCTGGCCCATAAGATTAAAGTTAAGTCAAGCCCATTCGGTTATTCTCTAACCTAGGCCTTTGAATTAACCCAAATCCTGACTTGTGCCTTAGGCTCAGTTTGGAAAAAGTACAAATACGAATATGTAACCCAAATCCTGACTTGTGCCTTAGGCTCAGTTTGGAAAAAGTACAAATACGAATATGTAACCCAAATATATATATATATATATATATATATATATATATATATATATATAAAATAATACAAAATAGAAGGTTTTGCATGGTACATGTTTGCATTTGTACCCCTTCCAAACTAAGTATAAGGAATGATTGCTCTCCTAGATTCAAGGTTTATTGATTGTAGATGATGATATTCAAACTTTCTTAACCTCCTTTGCTATTTACTGTTGGTGTATTTGGCTTAGAAGGAACATGATGATCTTTAATAACCACGTAGAGGACCCTCAAATCACGCATGCTCATGCTAACAAGATCTGCCAAGAATCTTTGTTAATCCAGACCCAGGGTCAAGCTATGGTCTCCCCAAATATCAATAGTGATAAGCTGGTTCCACGTCCCCGTGCCCCTCACGCAAGTTTTGCCTACACCTCGACCGATGGTAGTTTTATTCAAAGCTTATTATAATGCAGGTTATGGTGCCTCGATTTTGAATGGAGAAGGCCAAGTTTTTGGCTGTTAAGGCGATCATTGATACTCCTCGCTCTGCTACTTCTTAGAAGTGTTTACTATTCTACAGGGTATAAAGCTTGCAAAGCATTTGGGTTTCTCAAATCTCTTGCTCCATGGTGACTACAGACCGGTAATCAAGTGTTTGAAGCTGCACGTCGGCCTCCCTGTGAATGAATCTCTATTTTGAAAACAAGTCGGATCAGACGATCGGACCGTTTGACCTGGGTAAC